AAAGAAACCTATGTGTGGTCATCCACGTACTAGTAAATATCCTAAGGGTTCATGCATCTCTCACCTAGGTCAACGGGGTACCAATTCAACTAGCATGCAATACACAAGACTCTTTTATCTTACGAATGGTACCCAAAACGTCAATCTAGACTTAGGCACGATAAACGGAGTCCGTCGGGACACCACGAGGGTCGGAGAACATCAAACGGGGAAGCCAAAATCCCAAGGTGGGAACAATACAGCGGGTGGAGGGCCACCCGCCGGCGACGAGTCGCCGGGCAGCGGGTGCCCGACGGGCAGTCGTCTGCCCGCTGCAGCGGGTAGGTTGCGGGTCCCACTACCCCTACTTACCTCCCACAGACTCTTTTTCAATATTTTGCTCCCGGGATTTTCCGTGGAACCCGAAACCATATTTAGACACTTTTAAACATAAACGACAACACCACGTAGTCAAATAACGGATCAAAACCAAGAATCATAATGAACACATCCTAACATGACTTCTAAACATAATCAATACCCGAACACGCGAATTCCCACTCAAATATACCTAGAATATCACAATACAAAATTCACGATTCAACCTGGGGCTCTAATCATATTTAAATCACAAAATTATACCTCACCTTTAAAATCAAGAACACCATGATTTATCAAGAATCAACACACAATTATCAAACACATCAAGATTATCAAGATCAACATATAAGATCATCTAATCAATATCAAGATCATAACATAATCATCATAAACGATTTATCAAGACACAAGCATAAAATTGTATATCAAAAGGAGCCAAAGAAGAAGATTATATTATAACAAAGAAAATAGGTTTTGTTCAGACATGGGTTACCTCTTAGCCTTAATTAGAATCCTTGGCTATAAAGGGTCTCTTTCGAAGATTTCATCTTCTTGATTTCTTCTATGGGAATTCTTGTGTGGTGAAAGCTATTGTGATGTGAGTTCTAGGTGTCTCCTATGTCCTTATATACAACTAAGAGTCTTAATTAGGGTCTGGATGATATGGATTTACTAATTCTATTCCTTACAGGACTAAGTGTTTGGTTTAGGGATAAGGGTCCATGGCTTATTGTGGACCCTTCTTAATTAATTAAGGGATTTGGGTTAGAGGCCGTAACACGGGGTGTTACAGTTATATGATTTATGACCTTCCTGAATCTATATGGCAAAAGTTTGGTTATGCCACAATACTAAGTTCGTGAGTTTAATTGTTTAACATGTTGAATAATACATATATGTGCTTTACGATTCCATAAGGCTAGTTATTATTTAAAACTCGAAATAGGTTCACGTGCCTTCATACTCTATGCCTATGGACGTAAGAAATTGCATACGAAGCATAATTACGACTGTATACATATAGGCATGCCAAACTTGCAGGTTTCGCATATAACATAATAGTTAATTATCATACATGTTAGGCTTGTTATTTTGTAACTGTGAATGTTTGGTATAATCTGTTAAGCACAAAGGTTAGGCATAGACCCTACATGGCTACATATATGGCATTTTGGCTCACGACATGCTACACTACATAATTAAACATCTGCATCCATTCGTAAATGAGGTTCGCCTGTGTTGATATATGTGCATCTGTACTTTATGATAATTATGTGGTTATCAGAGCCTGCACCCGCGTGGTATTTGCCTCTCATTTAGGTGCATAGATAATTATATGTTCGGTACGACTTGTGATCCTATATGCTAAATCGTTATAAGATAATTAAATAACGAACATGCCATATGTAAAAACTTCTATGTTATATATTAGTCACCCGTAAAACTTACATATTGTGTGTTGCATGTTCGTAACCTTGTTATTTGGTGCATTTTGCAAACACAATAGATAGGTTGAAACCCATTAAATTTATATGCGTATATGTATATATTTCCCATATAATACTTTCCTTATGAACTACTACACTAATTCGGGCTCTTTACCCCAAAATGATTTCTAAGCTTCGGGGACGAAGCTTCTTGTAAGGGGAGGAGAGGGTGTAACACCCCGTGTTACAGCATTTAATCCCAAATTAATTATTTAATTAATCCAGTTAATAATAATTAAAAAGGATTTAATTTGGTTAGGATTCCAATTAATTAATTAATATGGTCCACCATGGACCATGGACCCTTATCACTAAACCAATCCCTTAGTCCTATAATGAACAGAATTATTAAACCCGTACCATTCAGACCCTAATTAGGACTCCTAGATATATATAAAAGGACATAGGAGGCACCTAGAAGTCACACCACAATAGATATCACCACACAAGAATTCCCAAGGGATTCCTCACCACCAAGCCTAGGGAGGTCAATCGGATGGAAATCTTAGGTAAGAACCTTAATAGCCAAGGGAAGATTAATTAAGGCTAAGAGGTAACCCATGTCTCAACAAAACCTATTTTCCTTGCTATAATCTTCTTCTTTGGCTCCTTCTCTATGATTGTGTCTTGATAAATCTTTTATAATGATTGTGATATGATCTTGATGATTGATGAGATGATTTTATGTGTTGATCTTGATAATCTTGATGATTAAAAGAGGATCTTGATAATTGTGTGATGATCTTGATAAGTCTGGATGTTTTCTTGATTTTAAAGATAAAGTGTGATTTTGATGATTTAAATATGATTAGAGCCCTAGGTTAAATTCGAAATTTTATATTGTGATGTTCTTGATATATATACTTGGGTGGGATTTCGCATGTTGGGTGTTAATTATGTTTAGAAGTCATGATAGGATGCATTTATTATGATTCTTGGTTTTTATCCATTATTTGACTACGTGGTGTCGTCGTTTATATTTAAAAGTGTCTAAACATGGTTACGGGTTCTACGAAGGATCCCGGGATCTATATTTTGAAAAAGAGTCAGTGGGGGGTAGGTGGGGGTAGGGGGACCCGCCACTACCCTCTGCCCGAATTGGCCTCACCGACAGCGGGCAGCCGACGGGGAGACGACTGCCCGCCGGGCACTCGCTGCCCGGAGTCTCGCTGTCGGCGGGCAGCAGGCGGGTGGTCCTCCACCCGCCGGCCACCAGCTGGATTCTTCCCACCTTGGGATTTTGGCTTCCCCGTTTGATGTTCCCCGACCCTCGTGGTGTCTCGACGGATTCCGTTTATCGTGCCTAGTCAAGTTTGATGTTTCGGGTACCGTTCGTAGGATAAAAGAGTCTTGTGTATTGCATGCTAGTTGAATTGGTACCCCGTTGACCTAGGTGAAAGATGCATGAACCCTTAAGATATTTCCTAGTACGTGGATGACTACACATAGGTCTCTTTATACGTTTTCTCCCCTCTCCCAACGTGATAATGTGAATTGCATGTGCTTGCTACGTGATATATGTGCATGACTCCCCAATATTGGCTACAGTCAAGTTGGTTTACATAGGGCTGCAATCCACCGACTGAGCTCGTCAGCGGTGTGTAGGGCTGCTGTCCACCAAGTGGGCCTCATGGGCTGTAGTCCACCGACTGAACGCGTCAGCGGTGTGTAGGGCTACAGTCCACGAGGAAGGCCATAGTCCATCGACTGAGCTCGACAGCGGTGTGTAGGGCTATGGTCGGCTGCGTTCCACCGACAGAGCTCGTCAGCGGTGTGTAGGGTCGCAATCCCCAAAGAGGATCACAGTCCACTGACTGAACGCCTCAGCGGTGTGTAGGACTGTGGTCCGCCGTTGAGCTCGTCAATGGTCTAATCGGTTGGCTGTGGTTAACCCCTTCAAGCTGCGGTATGAGTAGGGGTGGGAATAGGCCAGGCCCCTACCAGGGGCCTATGGCCTGGCCTGTTTAGGGCCTGGCCTGGCCTGGCCTGTTTAGTTAAAAGGCCAGGCTTAGGCCTAGTTAATAGCCTATTTAGTTAAATAGGCTTAGGCTTATATGTGAAAGCCTGGCCTACGAGCCTGCAGGCCTGGCCTGTTTATGTATATAATATATATAAAATATATATTTAATATTAATTATTTTATATTATATTTTATAACTAATATTTTGTAATAATTACAATATAACCCAGTATATATATATATAAGTATAAAGTCAATATCTGATAACCCTAGTCCCTAGGACTGTCTGCGTTTGTGGCTTTGTGGACACAAACTGTCCTGTACTCGTTTCTTCCCCAAAAATCGAAATCTTCGAATCGACTAACGCGACTCCGGCGAGGCTGCGGGCGGTGAGGCGGCGTGGCGAGGTGGCGACCGGAGTTGGACAAGCGGCGACCGCAGTTGGACGACTCAGACTGCTTTTCTGCTATCTGCTTGGTGGCGACCGGCGACCGGCGATCGGAGGTTAGTTTTATTAATATACGTTTGTTTGTTTAATTGTTTATTGAAGTAGACACTCAGACCTGCGTTTCATCACCTGTTTATTGAAGTAATATGCATACTGCCTTGACTGTTATTTAATATACACAGGCCTGAGTGTTGTTTAAGCAGAAATATGTGGCCACGATTATCAATTTATCACACACACTCTGACAATTATCAGAATAATAAAAACCAATAGCATGAACCCATACATGTAATAAACCTATTGAAAGCAAAGATCAAGTAATGAATCTGCTAATTAAAGGACACAGTGATTGTATATGGTCAACAAAGTAATTGACAGTAGTTATTATTTAGTTCAAATAACTAAATAAATAAATAACTAAATAAATAATGTTATGCACTTATGCACTAATAAATTGATTAGTTATACACTAATAAGGAACTGTAAGTCTGCAATGAGCAATTTAATTAGTTTATTACTATAAACAATTATTACTCAGTTTATTGATTAGTTAAGCAGACTAATAAATTGATTAGTTATAATATTAATTATTATAAACAACTAAACATAATTAGTTTTTTTTTACTATAATTAGTTTATTACTATAAAGTTTATAGTTTAGTTGTTTATAATAATTAATATTAGATACTTAGATGTTACTTTGTTTATGTGTTTTAATGGCTGAATAATTATAAAATTATATAGGATGACAAGTAACAATACAAATGAATCTATTCCTGAAGAAGTGAATGTGCAAGTTACAACTACAACTCCATCAATTTCTTCAAGTCAACCAATTGAAAGTAACAATTCTGAAGAAGTCAATAGGGTTGATAATGATTCAATCTTAACAAAAAAGCGGAAAAAAACATCTCCGGTATGGAATGATTTTGAAGAAATTGAACTTGCTAATGGTACAAAGAAAGCAGTGTGTTTGTATTGTAAGGAAAAATACTCTACTGGTGGAAAGGGTGCAAGCACTAGCCATCTTAAGAGGCACTCAGAGATTTGCCTGCAACGGAAGTTGCATATCTCTCGAGAAAATAAACAAACAACGATACAATTTCGGCCGCCTAGTGAATGTGGTGGTAATCCCTTTATTGTTCCTAATGCTAAATACTCCAATGAAAAGATGAGAGAGATTATTGCTAGTGGAATTATGGTGCATGAGCGACCATTTAGCATCGTAGAGGATGACATGTTCATGTGGGCTTTTGAATATGCAAATCCAAATTTTAGAAGAGTCAGTCGTAAAACAACAAGAAGTGATTGTTTGCAATTGTATGAAGCTGAAAAGAATACTTTGAAAAGGATTTTGAATAATGTGAGTAAGGTTAGCATTACAACAGACATGTGGAAGTCAAGTCACCAAGTAGTTGAGTACATGGTTGTGACAGGTCATTTTGTTGATGCAAGTTGGAACCTTCAGAAGAGAGTTTTGAATTTTGTCAAAGTGCCTCCTCCTCGACGAGGAACAGATATAGCAAATGCTATTTTCAAGTGTTTGAGAGGATGGGGCATTGAGAATAAAATATTCTCAGTAACTGTTGACAATGCATCTTACAATGACTCTTGTGTTAGAAGTTTGAAAGAAAACATGTCATTGAGCAGTAAGTTAGTACTTGATGGTCAACTTTTTCATGTTAGATGTTGTGCTCACATTCTGAATTTGTTGGTGCAAGATGGCCTTAACACTATTAAAGATGTCATTCATAATGTTCGTGAAAGTGTGAAATTTATAAATTCTTCAGATGCAAGGCTAAAGTCATTCCATGAAGTTGTTGAATTAAAAGGATTGAAAGAAAGGAAACTTATTCTTGATTGTCCAACAAGATGGAACTCCACATTCTTGATGTTGTGTACTGCAAGTAAATTTAAGCATGCATTTTCAGATTACAATGAAAAAGAGCCCCATTATAAGTATGCACCATCATTTGAGGATTGGGACAAGATTGAGAAGGTTTGTAAACTTTTGGAGGTTTTTAATGATGCAACTCATGTCATCTCAGGTAGTGATTACCCTACTTCTAACTTGTATCTTGCTGAAATTCAAAGGGTGAAAAAGGTTATTGATAATGCAGCTGAGTGTTTTGACATGTTCATGCGTGAGATGGCAAAACCTATGAAAGCAAAATTTGACAAATATTGGGGGGAGTGTAATTTGTTAATGTCTATTGCATGTGTTTTAGATCCAAGGATGAAATTAAATGGTATTAAGATAACTTTTCCCTTATTGTATAAAACACCAAGTGATGTTGAAAAGAATGTGGAGAAGGTGAAAAGGGCATTAGAAGATTTATATCTTGATTATGTGAACCTGTATAGTCAAGATGCTTCTTCTACTAGTGGACATAGTGAAGTCAATGTTGAAAGCAGCACTCTGGTTGATGGTGGACAACAAATGGATAAAGGGATGCAAGAATTATTGAGTATGGTCTACCAAAGTCAATCAATTCCTCTTACGAAATCAGAGTTGGAGACTTATCTTGAGGAAAATCTTTTTATTCCTTCTTCTACTTCATCCTTTTGTGCCTTGGCGTGGTGGAAAAATAATAGTCCAAAGTTTAAAGTTTTATCAAAGATGGCTTCTGATATACTAGCTGTTCCTATTTCAAGTGTGGCATCTGAATCCACATTTAGTGCCGGGGGAAGAGTCATTGATGAATATCGTGCTAGCTTAAATGAGGAATCTATTGAAGCTCTTATTTGTGGTGGGGATTGGCTTCGTAACAAGTACGGGCTGAAGAAAAAACAAAAGGTAAGAATGTACTTGTTACTTTAATATTTTATATTATTTTATATTACTGCTTGTTACTTTAATTATGAGAACTTGAACTTGTAATTGACTTCATTATTTATTCTCAATTTTTTTCATTGTGTAGGGAGATTCTGGACAACAGGAGATTATGTTGAAGCCATGACTTGTTTCATTTTATGTTTGAATGCTATTGTTGTTATTATGTTTAATGTTTAATGTTTGTATTGTGAACTTATGATTTCTGTTGTTGTTAAACTTGTGAGTTGTGAATTTGTGATGGACTTTTGTATAATGGACATGTAGACTTGATGTTATCAAACTTGTATGGTTTTTGTATTATGAACTCGTACTTATTAAACTTGTAGGTGTTGTTTGACATTTTATTATAAAATATGAACTTAGTTTTGTCATTTATGAATATTGGTTGATTCACTTGATTGTAACTTAATAATATAATTATTTTTTATAGGTATATTCATATATATATAATATTTAAAAGGCTTTAAAATGTAGGCTTTAAATAGGCTTTGAGCCTATTTAAATAGACTAAAAGCCTATTTAGAACATATTTTGAAGCCTTTTTAAAAGCCTTTTTACTAAATAGGCTTTTAAAAAGGCTTCAGGCCAGGCCAGGCCTACTGTAGGCTCAGGCTTGAGCCTAAAAAAAAGCCTACATACAGGCCTAGGCCCAGGCCCAGGCTTTAAGTTTTCCTAACAGGCCCAGGCCTAATTTTAAAAAGCCTGGCTCGGCCTGGCCTATTTCCACCCCTAGGTATGAGGCAGGGTGCTGCGGGGCCATGTTAGCACTATATGCGCTAACCTTCTTGTATGGGCATGCGATTGGTCCTGTGGCGCCACCAAAGTGTGCTTATGTGATAAAGATATTGATTGAAAGACGTTATGAAGGATATGAAAGTAACCTCTGACCTTAGGATATATGGTGATGTCTTTACATGCTCAATTAAAACTGTTGAATATGCTTATCCCTATTTATCGAGTCTATTCCTGCTTTTAAAGCTAGAGTCTCTTAATTATATATCTTCCTGCTTCAAAATGGTTTTTCCTATATATATATATATATATATATATATATATATATATATATGTATATATATATATATCTATAATAAAATTCGAATGCGGCGGGGTCTTCCCGTGCGGCGGAATTCCAGAATACACCAACAGTGTTAACAATATGCACCAACAGTGTAATAAAAACATACCACAATGAAATGCAATAAAACATCACAAAATACACAACAGACTCAAAAAAATACACCATATAACTCACCACCCCCAATAGTGTATTTCCGAATAGTGTATGGTGTTTTTACTCACACCTAATGGTGTGTGTTTGGTGATGCGGGGCTCTGTTTGCTCTGTTTTGTGTGGTGTATTTTCCTAACGTTGATGGTGCATATTTGTTGAACTATTGGTGTTGCCGCACCGTAAGAAATCGTCGCAGCGTAAGACACTGCCGCACCTGAATTCGCCTCTATATATATATACATATATATATATATATATATAAATAAATAAATGAATAAATAAATAAATAAATATATATATATATATATATATATATATATATATATATATATATATATATATATATATATATACACATGTGTATATATATATATATATATATATATATATATATATATATATATATATATATATATATATATATTGTATATATATATATATATATATATATATATATATATATATATATATATATATATATATATACACATACATGTATATATATATATATATATATATATATATATATATATATATATATATATATATATATATATATATGTGTGTGTGTGTGTGTGTGTGTGTGTGTGTATACCTATATTGTATTTTAACGCATTCGAGTGGGTTACCAGTATCATTCGCTGAACAGAAATATTTAGCTTTCAGACACAGATGATTAGCTACCGGAGCGCGCTAGGGGACCTCGGCTTAGATAGATTAGTCTTTTCTTTCGGCCTACGTGCCTTGATGATGTAATGACAATGTTTGAGGATAATTAGTTAGTATAGACTGTGCATCTGAGTTCTCCAGCTCTGATGTGGCATAACACCCCATACTCTTGTGTTTAGAATGCTCTATTTGGGATTAATTAATAGAATTTCCTTCATATTATAAGATTGAAAAGTTTTAAAAATTTGGGGGTGTTACAGTCACAAACTCCATAATCACGTCATGGCCACCACGAGGACCACTGCCGTACCTTGGTGACTAATATCCCAAACCATTAATCGTGCAATCCAGGTACAGCCACACACACCACACCATGATTGGAATCAGTCAACGGATCACAACGAAGATATGAAACCATACTCAATCAAGGAATGGATCACAATCCGACAACAACGATGATTAACACAAGTCATCATCCACAATAGGAAAGGACAAACAACACACATGCGAGCATTTAAACACCGAACTAGCATGCTTATCAAACGGGTAAACCAAACGTAGTTCCGAAGAACACACAAGACTCACCACGATTCAATGAATCACATTGCTGAACACTTAGCATGACTCAAGACACCAAAACCTACATGAAATCCTACTGTATAGTTCTAGACGTACGAAACATCAAGAAGAGACTCAAATAGTTCCACAAAAGAACATCGGGATGTCAAAAGACCAATGGTTCCACAGAAGACACTCAAATAGTTCCGCCCGCGGGTACCACACCCACACTTCAGCGTTCCCCGCGGGTGGGGCGGCGGGTAGGCTACTGCCCGCCGTTTCGCCCGCGGGTACATCAACCTGTACCAAAACTTCCCTTCGGGGATTTTTAACACCAAGCTCAAATTCAAGTCCAAAACATGCCAAATCTCACCAAATACAACAAAATGACTAGAATCAAAGGAATAGCCAAGCAATGGCATACATGAACCCTAATAACAAGCTCTAGATATGCATTTTCACAAGACAATGCATCAACACTCACATTTCATAGCAAAATCACATGTAGAATCCAATAAATCATCATATAGGCAAGCAAAATAGATTTTGTAGAGCATGGGTTACCTCTTGAAGACACAACCTTCACTTAAAACACTTCACAAGCTCCTAACAAGGTTCCTTTTCCACATCCATTTCAAGAACATACCAAAAGATCATAAAGATTTCACCTTTAGAAAAAGATACCTTAGAAAACACTAAAAACACAAAAGGAGCTTAGATCTTACCCTCCTAGATGCTCAAGAGTAGGAAAGGTAGAATCTTGGAGTCAAACTTGGAAGATCTTGATAGCCCTAGATTTAGCTTGGAGAGAAAGCTATCTAGCTTTTTAGAGAGAAGGAAGAGCTTATGATTTTGGAGAGTGTTTGGGAAGAAATGAAATGTGTCTCTTAGGTTAGCTTGGAAGACTATTACAAGGGAAATGTCTTCTTTACCCTTACTAAGATGAAAAGTGTAAGGGAATAAGGGAACTATTCACAAAGGTTTAGGTACAACATTTGACTATGGGTTGACTAGTTAATTACTAGTCCCCGACTATTGACTTTTCAGGAATTGAAGGAATTAAATTACCAATTGGATTAGGATTAATTACTTAATTAATCCCTTAATTAAATTTTGATTACGGGGTGTCACACTTAGCTTCATTCTAATGGGTTTATTTTCAAACTGTTTTTGTAACCCCTTTTCACGTGGGCCTAGTTGTTGAGCGTGCATGAGTAGTTGTAGTGCGTAGATGAGAAGTTAGATCTTAGATAGTATATGTTTTAAATATTATTATCTAGATACTGATGTTTGATGATAGTTGTTGTTGACTCATGACTTAGATAGATCTTTTGTTGGTGTTGAACACCGGGGTTGTACCCCAAGGTTTATGTTTTAATGAAGTTGACTTGTTTAGTTTATTTCCCTTTTTAGCCTATGCAGTCACCTCGAGTAGTAACTATGGTGGTAACACCTGTTGGTTGGTTTTTAGTTGGTGTAAGTTATTGAAATCTTTCATATTTCTTGTTT